ATATCAGGGCCTTTTGCCCATTCCAATCCATGCTTATGACATCATTTTATGAATAAGATGAAATCAAAGTGAGGTGAGATGGACAAATTCAGAAAAGACAGAATTCACTAGTGTTTTTGCGTATTGGCATGGCAATTTGCCTTTTGTAGGATGAAAATAGTAATTGCTCATTTTTAAAAATCACAGAGGTTATGCATCTCCCCAGAGCCTAGAAAATATTCCGTACTTCTTAACTCCCAAGTCTTGTTTCGGCCGCACAGCTTTCTCACTGCTCCTGTTGCATTCAGGGTCGTCTTGGCGACTTCATCTGAAAACATTATATGTTATTAACATACAGGGTTTCGGAGTGGAGGTGGAAGAAGAGAAGGGTGTTAATTCAGATGTTATGAAACTGTAATAATGCTATTATTTAAGACACTTATTTGGGTATGTTTATACTTTGTAGTTTTATAAATAAGCCCAAGGGGCTCCTCCTGGTTGTCACAATCCTCCTTGAATCTCGTATCCTGTCTGTCTCTTCCTATCCGACAGTAGAATTGATGTCGCTCTAATCCCTGGAAGTTTGGAACTAATGAACTGACTGCTGAGCTGCTGCCACGGAGCTTGGTCCCAAACTATACTGTACTTCACACTCGATTTATTCTCCAGATGGCGAGACTGTGCCGCCCCGCCGCGAGGGACCACCTCTTCCACTGGAGTGTAAAAGTGGACGGATGTTGTTTTCTTTGCAGATTTGATCATTCTGAGCTAGAAACTTGCAAGGCTGATTAGTTATTAGCTTTAATGGGTGCCAATTGAACCAACGGCACGCATATTTTCTCCTTTAATTTCAGAGTCTGCAGGTCTCGGTGATGGTTGATTTATCCACTTTCTTACGTCAGCAGAGCATGTCTCTTCCCCAGGTGATAAGAATCCGGTCTCTGAAATCATAGCACGCCTTGGTTCCTGGCCCAGACAGAGTCACATAATATGGTGGCTTATGTATAAGGACAAGTTTATTAGCCACCAGTCCACTGCACTGACCACAGCCCATGGCACGAAATATCAGTTGAATGTGGGAACTTTGGTAATACCACCTTTTAGGACCAGGGCCTGTGAAGAGTCTGACCTGTGCCAACTTTCTTTGTGGCCTTTGCAGAGCCCACCTCTGGAATCAAACATGCTACAAACACCCAAAGATAATTAGTCTCTGCAAAAATCTCATGTAACTGTCGAGGAAGGCCTTACATTCATTATTCCCTCTTTTCAGGTTGTCAGATTTTAGGAGGACAAGTTCATCCTACACTGAGAAATGCTTACCAAGGCTGTCCTGCAGTGTTAACACGTTTAGAGTGCAGTTCCTTCTAAACTCCATTTTGAACAACCTGTTTTGCTTCCAGAATGTAAGACCACCCAACCCCCAAAAACAGTTGTTTTTGAGTGGCCTCTTTTTGCCTTCATTTCCTTTTCCTTCTTTCTCCAGGGAGCATTTACCTCCCAATAATCTCAGCAGATCACCTGGATAGCCCTTCTGAGAAGGTGGTGTCTGCCAGGCCGAGTCTTACTAATCCCCCTAATGAGATGGCACTTGGAAGGATGGTCAGGGCCAAACAGGAGCCAAAGAAAAAGAGAGTGAAAGTGTGAAGGGAGCGAGGTGATGGAGATGAGAGAGATGTAAGAGACACGGTAGCAAGACGTAGGGCCTGTGATAGAGAGAGAACAGCATGAACAGAATTTCTTTCTTTTCACAACTGGTGGACTGTGGCTCTCTCTAGCTGAAGACCCAGAACTAAATTTAATTGTTCTTAGAAACTGCCTTCCTCTCACCCAACAGATGGCATGGGTGTGTTTGCTAGCATAGTAACATATTTCACCATTAAAATACCAAAAAGAAAAAAAAATCAACATGCTTGTTGGTTGGTGTAAATTCAGTGAAGTTGTTGGATATTTTGGGATACACAGCAGAGGGATGCACACTTCACTTATGTAAATTGTCACAAGCAACAGCCCGTTAATAAGGGTGTTGTATGGCAATATACCTCCAAAGCCATCATCTTTTTTTGGAAAGGTACAGAATGATGAAGTGGAAAGAACTTGGTTTTAATTCTGAGCCAGAAAGAGGAAAAAAAGTCTAATAAAATGCTGAGTATTCACTGCTCATTATTACAGCATGAAAAGTACTAATCAGATTATGCCTAAAATTGGAATGGGGTACTTCATTTGCAGCCAATTTCACAAGGGCTGAATTTTACTAAGTAAACCGGAATGTGCTGAAACCATGGCAATCTGACTTTACATAAAAATCACAAACAGGTTTAGAACATGAGCTTTGAACAAACAGTCCCCTTCGAATCCAAGTGAAACAACTGAACAGCTTAGAGGTCAGATTTTGTTTGACACCAACATGAACAATTTAGGAAGCTGATGTTGCCAGGGATGCTGCGTCCTTGAGCGCACATGCAGATTAAACTAGAGGATGGAGGTGATGATTCAAGTAACTCAAGTTTTTTGGGTTTTTAAAAAATAAATTTATTTACTTATTTAATTATTCTTGGCTGCGTTGGGTCTTCGTTGCTGTGCGCGGGCTTGCTCTAGTTCCGGCGAGCAGGAGCTACTCTTTGTTGCAGCGCGCGGGCTTCTCATTGCGGTGACTTCTCTTGCTGTGGAGCTTGGGCTCTAGGCACGCGGGCTCAGTAGTTGTGGTTCGCGGACTTAGTTGCTCCACGGCATGTGGGATCTTCCCGGACCAGGGCTCAACCCCGTGTCCGCTGTATTGACAGGAGGATTCTTAACCACTGCGCCACCAGGAAAGTCCCTCAAATAACTCAAGTTTTAAAATGCACTTCAGCCCAAACGATCTAGTTAGTTCCCTTCCATTTCCCATTCACTTTGTCCCAGCAGACCCTTTACAAGCCCAACCTGCCCTTGAAAGGAAACCTGGAAGTTGAAACTTTTCTGAGCTGAAGCCATCCCGGGTTTGTAGCTGTGCCAGGCTGCATGGAGCATAGCACATCTTGGGTTCTTTGAGGCTATAGATCTAGATACACACAGGAAGCATTTCTCTCGACAGCTGTCGATGGCCTTGGAACCATACTACTGAGTTGATGAGTTGACTTCTGACCTTCACCTTCAGGATCTTCCTATCCTGTGGCTGCAGCGAGAGGGCATGACAGAGCAAGTGGATGCATTTTATTGCTGTGGGACAGCCCACAGCAAGGTGTGGAACCAAGCCACTGTTGGCTGCATCCTTCCTCACTTTAGCTGGCATGAGCTCTCTCTTGCTTTTGTCTAAGCTTGGCATAATTATTGGCAGTCAGAGCTCAGTAAATCAGGACTCCACAGAGCTGTCTCAGACTGCTCCTATGTACTCTGCGTCCATCCGACTTGACAACTCTAAGCTGTTTTCCTCACACTGTTTAACTCAGACCACATTTGGAGGCCTTCCCTGCTTCCACCCGGTCATAGACCTACATCCGCCTGGTTTAAATCTACTGTCTTGGCTTGTCTCCTTGATTGGACTTCAACTCAATATTGGCTCAAATAATTATTTTTTCTCTCTGCTTTGGTTTATTATTTTCCTAGATAACAACTGCTATCCAAATGGCCATATATTGTTAAGACCTTTTTTTCCAAACTACATTCATCAGCAGTGAGAAGCTTTAAAGTTTTATTAGTATCATAAAAGCCCTTCCCAAATGAAGCTACTTTTGATAAGTGTTCATTCTGACCATGAGAATTTGTTGAGGGCTGTTGGCAAGTTGGAGGAATTTGGTTTTGAAACTGAAATTGGCAGGAAGTAATGACCTCAAGGGCTTTCTTTCCCTTGATTCCGACCCCCACGCCCCAAGTGCACTCCTCTCTCCCCAACCCCTGTCCCCGCTTCATCACCCCAACGCAAAGCCAGTAAATAACATGTTTGGTTTTATACAGTTTTTCTGGGGACAATTCAAATACTGAATCAGACTTTCAACCTTCAGCTTTTCTTAACTGTGGAGCAAAGCCTGCCAAATCAAAGAAAAAAATGTATTTGTCCACCACTTCATGAAGGGATTTCTTGGTGATATTATTGCCTTCCATCTGAATAAGCTGGAGCTTTTTTGTAGTGTGAAGTGTCATTTTCCTGTGAGTGCCTTCTTAATTGAATGTTAAGATTCAACTCAGTTGCAAAAAAATTTTTAAGTGAATAAAAAAAGCATGACACATGTGGAAAGAGAAAAACAAATCCTTATTTTTTTCCCTAATGTGAATATGCTGGCAGTCCAGACTACCATTAATCCATAATTTCTTGTAGTTTCAATGTGTTTCTAGTTTCTTGTATTTATTCAATGAGAAAATGCAGGTAGAGCACTTAGCACCATGCCTGGTGCTTAGTAAATGCTCAATAAATGTTACCTATTAGTTATTTTACCTTTCCAATGGAAAGTAATGCTAATGCACAAATTGAGAACACTATTTATTTATTTATTTATTTATTTTTGGCTGCGTTGGGTCTTCGTGGCTGCACACAGGCTTTCTCTAGTTGTGGCGAGCGGGGGCTACTCTTCCTTGCAGTGCACGGGCTTCTCTTGTTGCGGAGCACAGGCTCTAGGCGCACGGGCTTCAGTAGTTGTGGCTCGCAGGCTCTAGAGTGCAGGCTCAGTAGTTGTGGCACACGGACTTAGTGGCTCCGCGACATGTGGGATCTTCCCGGACCAGGGATCGAACCAATGTCCCCTGCAGTGGCAGGCAGATTCTTAACAGTGTGTTACCAGGGAAGTCCTGAGACCACTATTTAGAGTTTCACCAACGTGCATTACAATGGCTTTCATCTCTGCTATAGTCATCTTGAGTGAAGTCTGGAAATCAGTCACTTGCCCATCAGACTGGACAACTCATTTCAAATACCAGTTATTTGGTGGACATAGTAGACATCGTAATGGTGCTCAGACTCTCCATCCACATAAGAGTTTCACAGACAGTTTGATTGTGTTTCTTCTCAATGATAAATAAACTTAGGAGTTACATTTTATCTACACTCATAGGATGAAGCTCGATTGAGAATAGTAAAAACTCTTGAAGACTTTGATCTGGGCCCAACTGAAAAGTGTGTAAGAATCAACTCAGTGTCCAGTGGTCTGGCCGAAGAAGATCTGCAGGCCCTCCTGCGGTCCCGGGTCCTTCCTTCCAGCCTGATGCTCCCGAAGGTAGAAGATCCTGAAGAAATCCAGTGGGTGAGTAGCTCATGCTTTGCTTTAATTAAAAACTCAGGAGAGGCTAACAAGGAATAGCAGAAAGGAAGGATTTGGGTGCTGTAGGTTTTGAAAATGCATACACAGAGCCGAGAGAAAGGGAACTGAGAAAAAGGAGCAGGTCCCAAAGACCATTTCCTGCACACAAGGAGAACCTGGCTTTGCCTAAGTGTTCACTGGAACAGCTCTGCACTTGAAATGATGCTTCTGCTGCCTTAACAGATCTGTGGTTTAGACAGAACAGCCTCCTCCAGAGCAGCCCCTGGAAACCAGCTTACCTGAGACTACACCCAGCCAGGCCCTAAACCTCCACCTGGAAGAGCAGTGATTTGCATACCTCTTAGGCAGATTCATTTGAAGTCATCAGAGACAGTGAAAGCACATTAGCTGCAAAGGAAAAAATGAACCTAGAGGAGGAGAGGAAAAGGTCACTCCTTGGGGCAACTATAGGAAGAGACAGGAAGCTTTTAACTAGTGGTTTTAATTAGCACAGATATTATTTCCTGAACAGTTTTCTAGTTCATCCTTTTTAAATTGCTGACAGGTGTGTTTGTTTCATGACAGACTTTTCAGCCAATAAACCCTTGGCATGTCAGATTACTTAAGAAAACTTTGAAATGGGCCTAATTATACTATGATTGTTTTAATTGTTAAAGTGGGGTGGAGGTTGCAGGGTGAGGCTAGATTTTATTTAGGGGCTGCAGTGATTCTGCAGATCTCTGCCGAATACAGTACGGTTCCACTGTGCCACTCCTGAGAGGAGGGCCCGTGGCACCCAGGTGCTGGAAGCATGGTAAGGGCGTGTGGACAGTGGTGATTTTGATGCCACATCTAGGGTGATCCCTGAGTCTATGGCTACAACTGTAGCAATACGCCGAGTTCTAGTTGTGGCACCCAAATACATTGCTCACCTTTTCCGTGTATGTAGCTATGTTGGCTCTGTGCTTTCCAGTGCCATGGCTGCCTGCCACATGTAGCTACGGAGCACCTGAAATGTGGCCAGTCCAAATTGAGATGCGCTGTAAGATACACGGGACTTTGAAGACTTCATAGCACCTTCCCCCGAAAAAAGAATGTAAATTATCTCAATAATTTTTATGTTGATTACATGTTGAAATGATAATATTTCAGATATATTGGGTTGAATAAACCTCTTATTAAATTCACCATCTGTTTCATCTTACTCTTTTAATGTAGCTACTAGAAAGTTTAGAATTACACATATAGCTACCATTATTTTTCTGTCCGTCAGCTCTGCATTGGTGTCTTCCTGAAGACCTTCGTTCAAGGTCCCATATTTACTTTCAAAACTGGAGCTCTTCTCAGCAAGGTCACCCCTCAGGAGCTGGGAGATCCTAGTGATAGCAGGTTAATGTCCTCAAGAGTTCCTGCCCCATTCGAATGTGTCTTAAGTTGATTGAAATGGAATCTGAAGTCACTGTTCCCTTTTGGTTTCATAGTTAGTGCCTATTTATCACCGTTATTACCCCTCATTTGAGAGGGGAGTGCTCACCCCGGCCTTCAGCTAAGGCCTCTGTTCACTGTTTTAAATCCTTGGATGTGAGGAACATACCGAAATCTAAATAGGATTTCTAGTTAACAGAAGTCTTTTGGGCTGTTTATTTTTTCCTCTCCGTTTGTATTTATGTGAAGCATAAAACCCAGAGCCTGATGCACAACTGAAAGATGGGCTTCCTTGTTTTCTTTTGTGTGAGAATCTCTTGCTGGCCTTTTGTCGCTAGTGTGGGTTCTTGTTTGACTGGCACGGCTTATTGGACTATAACAAGCGTGACTCGGCCTCCTTTGTCGTGGGACAATTCTCCCACAAATCCCGAACAGGGTGCATTCTTCCAACACACTATTGGGTGTGCACTGGAATTGAAAGAATTGCTGAGCCCTGCTACTTCATCTCCTCCCCAATCTCTTTGTGATTTTCCCCCTTCTTTTCCTCCCCCCACGCCCCCAGTCCCCTCCACCTCGCTGAAATGAACACTTTACCAGGCCGGAAACATTTAATCGTCTCCTTTTGAAAAAATTAATTGAAACTCCTCCACTAGTTACCTTTTGTGTTAGTACTTAATGCAATTTTTTAAGAAAGAAGGGGAGGAGGAGGAGGAGGATGGGCTAGAATGTTTAATTTTTAAATATGCCCCTATTGCCTTAAAAACAAAAGGCGTTAGAGATTTTTCACACTAGGAACAGGGATATTCCCTGTTGTAAAGGATATTGTAAAGGATTTACCTAGTTTTCAACTCTACAGTTTTTGGGGTTATAACCATTATCACAAAGAATGGGGCAAGTAACACTGAAAGTTTTCCTTTTTTTAAAAAGAAAAACAAAATTCCTCCAGTGCACAGGTAACACCAAAATCACTAATATTTTACCACCCATTTTCTAGCTTAAATGTGCCATAAATTAGGTTTTATTTTCATTTTCGTGGAATACTATACATTTTGTCCCCTGAAACTGTAGCCTTCTCTTCCTTCTTGCTATTTTGGTTGAGTTATTCCTTCCCTTGTAAAGTTGCTAAGGAGGCGATGATCATGGTGTCGAGGAAGGGAGGGGCAGCGGGAGCAACTGGGAATAATTCTTCATTACTGAAAGCTGTGATTTATTTTAGCCTAATTGTAAAGTTACTGCAAATCGCTCAAAAGCTTTTTAAAGATCCCAGTGATTAGATTTTTTTTGGTTGGGGAGGGAGGTGCTGCACGGGCAGTGGGGGGGGGGGCAGCTAAAAGGGGAAATAACACCTCTAATCCTGCTTCTGGTAAATAGGCTGCCAGCCTTTAAAATGAGTTTCCTTTCTATTAGTCAGAATATTATGCTAAGCCTTAAGCATTAGTTTTTTTATGTTGCCATAGCAGCCCTATTCCTGCAGGGTGGTGACCTGCGATGATTACAGTACAAAGCTTATAGGGTCTTGAAACCCCCTTTGAAGATGAAAAGTCTTTGATGGTTTATATTTATGCAAATCTCTTAGATATGATTTACCCAACTGAGACTGAATGGAGAGATGATTAAAATTCCCTTTTCCTTTGATATCCATTAATGGCTGAATATTCCTTAAATTTAAAATGGATATATATGTTTTTATCTTTATTTACAAAAATAGTTTTTTCGTACCTGTGTGTTTTTTTTTATCTCCCCACATCTTATTAGATCTAGATAGACATAATAGATTTACAATTTAGAGTGTGGTGGGGTTTTTTTTTTTCTCCTTTGAAAGGGGTGGGGGGGAGATCTGTGCAAGAGCTTTTGTATGTTTCCAGATGATAGATTTTGGAATTTGGGCTACCCCACTGGCAGCACAGAGCTAGCTGTGAACTGGTCTCATGGAAAAAATTGGCGAGCTTTGGTCTTCAAAGAATTAAACTTCCTTTTTAAGGTCTTCCTAGGTAAGCTAAAAAATTATGAAGAAAAACCTCCGAACAAAGGGTAGTGTTGCTATAATGAATAATATGGATTCCACGTAGAAGGCTTCTGAACAGTTACACCGATGTCTGTGCAGGGTCCGAAACAAAACCAGAATGGCAGGTAGAGCAAGCCTTCATTGTTTTAGGGGCCTGCCACATGCACTGAACGAAGGGAAGGCGAGAGGCCTTAAGTAAAAACCTTTTCAAGGAAAGCATTTAAACTTGAGAATCTCTCCTTCCACCTCTTAACTCCTAGGCCTCAAATTGCGCCTTCAGAAAAAAAAACAATTTTTAATGCTTGAGGTTTTACTATTTAGTTTGCTGGGAACTTTGTTACCTTTTCTCTTTGGTCTTTCCTCTGTTTTTTCCGTTTTTTTTTTTTTTTTTTTTTATTCTTTGTGTGGATGAAAGAGGCTGGGATATTACTTCCTCAGGTCAAAGACTTAAATACTACTTCTATTCTACAGTTCAATGATTGTACATTTTTTTTCCCCCACTAGTCACCTATGACACTTTTTATTCTAGTTTTCAGACAAATTTTCATTCTACTTACAAGGCCGAAAACTTGAACAACCTATGAATTTAATCCCTTTTGTGGAAACTGCAATGGGTTTGCTCAATTTTAAGGTAAGGAAACCATAATGTGGCTAGTAAGTTAGTATTTTATTTATTACCTAAAGAGAACTTTTGTTTTCAATTTTAACATCTACTTAAAATATTTTTCTAGAAAGATTTATAAGCAAAGTAAACCTTGAGCACCATTTATTATCTGTAATAACCAAAACCAGGCTGTGAGCATCTTAGAAAACAAAGAAATAGACGCAGTAGCAAGGAAAAACTTCCTCGTCCTAAATATTTAAATGAAATATTTATATATTCCTGGCATTAATTTTAATTAAATAATCACTATATAAATTTTTGCTGTGAATTATTACATTTATAGAATAAATGTACATGAACATTTGTCACCCTTACGAATTAACTTTCAATTATTCTTTTGTAACAATTGCCTTTTATTGGGAAATTATCAGGCCTCTTTGTAGCAACATAATCTATAATGTCTAATACATAAGATTACTATTTTTGAGTTAGTATACACACTAATTTGTACTATATTATTTCAGTTTGCCACATTAGAACATAAAATATTTCCTAATATACATTCAGGAAGATTAGCTGAGCCAAGCATTTTCACCATTGTATGGCTGCATTAAACTATTTGCCTTAGCGAATTCATAGCTAGCTTGTTTCTTCCTCTTTATCAGTGGCCATTTAAATTGTTTTCCAAAATATGCCTCATGTTCCACCTGACCTGTGAACATCATCACTGTAGTACCCCAGGACCAAGGGCAGGAGAGAAGAAATACCTAAAAACAAAAACAGATAGTTGAACTGTACTGGAGAGATAATATGTGAGCAAAGGCTCCGAGAGGAAACTTTGAGAGACCTACTGGCCTATGCAGGAGGGGCAGAGTGCAAATGTTTGGGGAGCTGCTTCAGGCCTCGTGATCAGCGTGTTTACACCACTAAGCACGAATCCTTCCAGCCTGCCCTATATGCGTTGGGAATATAGTCAATGCATATTTCTTAGATGCAACTAGATTCATACAGTGATTTCATTTTAAGCGCTGATTTGCCATTTTATCCATAATACACTTAGAAGCACTCACAGCCCCTGAAATTAATCAACAGTGTCCTCGCCGGTTCCTCATGTCCTCCCCACCCACATATGTTAGCATGCTTTCTCTCCACCTTTGCAGCATCACAGTCCTGTCTAAGATGACTATCATTCATCTTTAATTTCACAGAGAAATGTCCAAGTTGCTTATTCATACATCTTGGATGACTTATTGCATTTTTATTTTCCCCTCTGGAGTTGTAGATTTTTGTATTGTTTGTCTTTAATCCTGAGACCATTTACTAAGAAATCTTGATCCCAATGCAAATAATCCAATTAGTTTGATTTTTAAATTCTTTCCTTTTCTCCTGTGGTTTTTTGTTTATTGTTGGAGGGTCTCTTAAAGCAAAAACAAATTTTGGAAGAACAGAAATAACTTACAGTCCAATCAAAATGAGTTAACTTGAAAGTTTCTCTAAAGATTGGATGAACTAAAACTTGAACATTATAAATGTATTAATATATACTACTAACTATATTAATATAATCCATTAAGCAAAGCAAATATATGCAACATACTTACTTTGGACAATATTAAATACCTTTTGAAAGGGGTGAATTGGGGCTGCATTTTCAGGACTGCTTTCAGCTAAACTGTGTTAAGAGGTGGAGCTTTCTGTTACTGAAATATACCATGCTGCTTCTCTCTAATGGGTGCATTTCTGTGAGCTCTGGTTCTGTTCTGCTCTTTTACAGGCAGTGTGTGAAGAAGCACTAAAGAACGGGCCTCAAGTGGGTCTTTTTCTAGATGCAGTCGTTTTTGGAGGAGAAGACTTTCGCGCCAGCATAGGTGTCAAAGACATGTTTCTCTTCTCATTCTCTCTGTGCATATGTGTATATATTTTTTCTTTGCCCCTTCAAGAATGGGCATTTACATGACAATATATATTTGCCAACCATGACAATGGTTTTTCAGCTGAATGGGAAATACTTCCTGATAATTTAGGGCACCTCATAGCTGTCCTTCTTCCAGAACACTACATCATCACTTCCGTTCATTTATAAAATAACTAATAAAAAGCCTGTCGTAGCCTCATACATGTTCAGGCATATATGACGTCTACTGTGTTCATAATAGCTACATTATGTGAACAGCCTCTCTGTTGCTTAAATGTGTTGTTTTCCCATCAGCCAGACGGCTGTCTAAGCTTCTAACACAAATTTAAGGCAGTTTCACATTGCTTTGATGAATCATTTTCTACATTAAAGGAAGTATGTAAAAATTTAAAATAGATCTTAAATTCCCCCTAAAATATATTTCAGAACCCCTTTATTATGAAATATTTATTGAGATAGTATGCTTGTTTTCACTGATCTTCCCCATCCCTTGGGCACTATGTCTTTGGTCTGGGTGCATGTATAACTAACTAGAGGCTGTGAGTGCATCTAGAAAAGAGGCCAAGGCCACAAAGTGTTTTCAGAACACCACTCCCAGTGACCTGAATGCAAGAGCTTTCCCTGAGCAGTGATATGGCCCAAATATAAACAGTGACAGTTACCCCACTCCTGGGGGAAAAAGAGGAACCAGTCTTTCCAGGAGACTTATGTGTATCCAACAGCTCAGTGGACACTTTCTGCCTCCCTCAAAATCAGTGTCCTTGCATTCCCCCAAGTTCCCCTTCCACACCCTGAAGCTGCAGTATTTGGCTCAGAACCTGTTATGACATGGCATTACAACCACAGCACACGAATTCTGTGCTCAGTGATGGAAGTTAACTATTTCCATGCACAGCTGTTTGGCTACCTTTTATGGTGCTATCTTTGGACTGACACTTTCTGAGCAATGGCAAGAAGGAAGAAATACACCGGAGTCCTTTGTGACCTATCAAGTCATTTGTGTCTAGCTCCTGAGATAGGGAAGGGGGCTTTTCTTAATGCACGTGCAAGTAACTACGTGAAAAGATGCCTTGCAAGATAAAGAGACACATGTGAGATTTAACTCTGCCTCCACATAGCCCTCTCTTCATTTATATTTGAATCATCATTTCGCTAGGGAGAAATCCCCAGGCAAACAGAGATGTCTTTACAAACGGCGTTCTTATAATAGATATCTAGGTCCATTTTCCAAAGTTAATGTCTCCTTTCTCAGTCAACGTTCTGTTTTCAGGTGCAACAAGTAGTAAGGAAACCCAAGATATTCTCTACGCCCGACAAAAGATTGTTGTTGTAGCAAAGGCCTTTGGTCTGCAGGCCATAGACCTGGTGTACATCGACTTCCAGGATGGAGAGGGGCTTCTCAAGCAGTCGAGAGAAGGAGCTGCAATGGGATTTACTGGTATGATTCTTGATAATATCTTAGAAAGCAGTATCTAGATTAAGCAAACATTCCAGAAAAACAGAAATTTAACCAGGAACTGGTGTTTCTAATGTAGCCAGGTGTCTCATATACTTATTCCATTATTTGAAACATGAAAAAGTTATCCAGGACCAGAACCTGCCAAACAAATTGTCATGTTTGTCTTTGGCTCCACAAGTCAAAAAATAAAGCACTCGTTTTAGTTTCTTCTAATATTACTTACCAGTTTTTTCTGTCCTCTTAAGTATTTTGTTGCAGTTTTTGCTGACACGAGGGGAGGGATGAGGCCATTTTAGAAGTGTTTTTGAGGGAACTGCCATAGAATTTGAGTTGATGGGGAGAAAAAAATTTCCTCAGATATTCAAAATATTAATTTATTTCTGAAAAAAATTTAGTGGTATCTTCTTTGTTGTTGTTTTTTTTAACTCATAACTAGCTTTTTATTCTTCTGGCACTTCAAGCCCCTCCTTACTCTCCCATCCCCCAGTAAGTGTCTGTGCACCTGGTGACACCTTTGGGCATTGACTGGCACTAAGATCAGTGGGTCCTCGAAATCCTGTCCTGGAGAACAGGCAGATATCTGTTGATTGGTGTGCCCAATCACTCAGATACCCAGGAGCCCAGGGAGCAACCGAAAATTGTATTTTTGCAACAGAAATCTATTTTTTGAAAAACCACAATACGATTCTATACACAAACACATGTCAGCAGTTTCACACACACACACACACGTACACAACCATGGGTAAAAAACACCATAAGCTCTTTTATTCTTATTTGTTCTCCTGCTGCAAGTTCTAAGGATATCCTGATCAGAGATGCACCCAAAAAATAAGGAAAAGAGACAAGCATCCATGCTATTCCTTTTGTAAATATTTTTGAAATGTGTTCATTTAGAGGTTAATGAAAGAAACATTTCATAAAGTGACCTTCAATGTAAAAGATACCTTCGTGGATGTTAATTTAACCCAAAGTAAAATTGAAAGACTGTAGAAACCATTTTAGTGTTACAGTAGAATTAAATAATGCTCTTACCTTTGTGTTTGTGTTTTTAACATAAAGAGTTAAAATGTGATTCCCCCAATTTGTTAAATAAATAAATAAATGTCTTTTATAGAGAAATATTTCTCAATCATCTGAGCTATTAATAAATGAATCCTCCCTACATTTAATAGTGACTGAGAAAGAAAGAGTCCCTCCACTGAATCCCTGGCATTGTCCTTGTCTCTGTGCCTGTGACACCTGCCTCCTTCCAACGACCTGTTAGGATGTGGCCCAAATGGAAAAGTTGGAGAAAAACTCCATGAAATCTATCTAACAGACCCCGATGTTGTTGGTCTAAGATATGTGGCTTTGGCTGCCAAGCAGCCAGATGTTGCTCTGAAATGGGCACTAATACAATAAAAAATAGAAAACACTAAATTGATGGGGGCCTCTCTCACCATCACTCAGGATAACCTGGGTGTCCTCTGCTTCCTCTGGGGTAAATGTTTGCTCCAGAACTTATAAGGGAGTTTGAGAGTTTCTCCAAGAGACGGGACTGAATTAAATTGGTCCCTAATTCAATCGTAGAAGACAAGTTATTGCAAATCAGATTTAAATTTCTAGACTGTGCCCAACTCAGCATGAGGAGCTTACGGACTTGGCACTATTGTTTCTCAACAACAGGGAGTATTAAATCAGAAACAAAATGGAAGTGGGAGGGAGAGGGGAGAGGATGAGGAGGCACGGAGGGTACAGTGCCCGTTATATATTCAAGTGAACTAGTCAGTAAAGGAGGAAGCTAAACTTCAGAGCCATTTTGCAATTTTTAGAAAGAAGGTCTTTATTGTCCCAATTATATTTCTATACACCAAGAAAAGGTAATTAGTCTGATAATAAGATAGGAGATTATTTGTAGTATTTTTAAACAATAAATGCTTTAATGAGTATTTTAGACCACTCACGATCTGCTTGTCCTAATTATTTATCATTTAATTGCCATACTTTGGGCTTCACGCAAGAAAGGAGAAAAGGAAGGAAAGAAGGAAGGAAAGAAAGGGGAAGGAAGGAAGGAGGGGAAGAAAGAAGGAGAGCTACACACCCTATCTGAAGCAAGTGGTTGAAAGTTTTAAAATTCAATAAAGTATTATGTTATCCATAACACTGATAAGGATCTGTGCTAATAAGGATTTTCTCGACTTTTAAAAATTAGATATTTTTTAATGAGTTGTAGGTTTTTTGAAACTTAGCCATGTAACAAACAGCTGGTTACAGTTTCTTTTCTGTATTCATTGTTTCATGAGGCCGCAATCCATGTAAATTGATTTTAAATCAATGCATTGGCTGTATAAATGACTATTAACTTTAGGAATTATTTTTATAAAAAGAAACCAAAAATAAATCTTAGAATAAATCTTTAACAGCCTACTTAGTCATCACAGTTATTCTAGTACTACATGCTGAGAAGAAAGATTATAAATATGAAGCACTATAGGTTTTCTTCTTTTTTGCAGTCTTTTGTAGAAGACAAAAATGACACCGTCATACAGTTACCTAAAAGATTTGACAGGTATTGATTTAAAGCACGATATATCAAGTGATACTGTAAAAAGGATTTCATGGTCATAAATTTTAATGTCTTCCAATTTTGCACCCTCTCAGTAACTTGTCAATAACAACTCTTCTGTATAAAATATTTGCTTTGCTCCCACATGGCATTAAAGTCTGATGTTCAGTTGTTGGGATATATAAGATTTGACGAAAGATAACTTCACATATGGAGGTTCATAAATTTCTAAAACCTAACACATATCTTAAAATTAGCCTCAGTACCAAAATATGGCTACTTAAAAGCCATCATTAGTTTCACAGCATTGTAAATAGTTTATGTTTGCTTCTCAATTTATAGTGTCTGTACCAAGAAGTTCCCATGAAATCTGGCTTTTTACACATCAGTGTAAATTATGTACATAAATTATAAAATTCAGGACTAACAATTAGTACAAAATGACTACCAGAACTGACATCCTTTATTAATAATATTGTAACAACTGTTAGATTGCTTAAATATAACTTCAATATCTACTATTGAAAAAAGTCTCATTTGTCATCATTGATGTTATTTGTTCCCAGAAATTATTCCTCAAATAATTTAAAGCATCTTTATTTATATAAGATTTTAATGTTTTATTAGTATGCTGACAGATAATGAAATAGCAACATGAGGATGTTTTAATTATGCTACTGTAAAGAAAAGATATTGTTATATTTATTTACTTAAACTCTTTTTCATGAAATAGTAAAAAAATTTTTTTAGAAACATTGTTCTTTTTTCTATTTGACAGAATAATGACAGTAACAGGAATGCACCTTTTATAAAACATCAAGGATATAATTTGTACTGGCTATATGTTAAAGCAGCTATTTCAAAAGCAAAGCAAATTGATATGCCAACAAATATACTTAGCAGAGTAAATTATCATTAAGTGTACATTCATTTTTAAAGAACCAAATATGTCTATAATTTTATCATATAATAAAATATAATCTCATCATTATTATAACATTAAATTATGTTGCATTTTATCAATGACCTGATTAGATTCCACTCTTCCCTGATTGTTAAATAGTTTTTTTAATGACTACATGATTTCATAGAATCCTGTGACTCTTATCTTTGTATAATGTTTTTTTTTTTTTTTTTTTTTTTTTGTATAATGTTTTAATTTAAGATTCCTTTTTAAAGCTTTTTTAAAACCGTTACTACAGAAATAAAATTTCTTCTGGGGTGTCTAAGCATCTGTATAAAGGAGAAATATCCAATCTTCATCCCATAAGCAAAAAGGGAAAATCTGAGGGGGTTTTTTTGGTTAGAGAAACTTTATGTAATTTTTTATTTAAACATTTTTAAATGGAGTAATCCAGAGATCACAGTGTTCAAATCTGCCTTCTGTTTTACTATACTGAATAAAATTTTTTTCATTGAAATCCAATTTTCTATTAGTGGTTAGAAGGGATACACTAAGTTCATCTAAAAGAAAGAAAATTGAATGTATTATTGTAAGACACTGTTGATATTAATATAGTTGTAATGTCTGCTTCTGTAAGCTTTATGAAAACCAACAGACCACTTTTAAAAGAAATCATGGAAGATGGGATAATGGTACAGAATAAGCAAAAGACAACTCGCAAAATTGGAAAGAATTAACATGTAATTTTTTTTCTACTTTAACTCAAAATAATCACTTTAATTTGCAGACATTATCCTTTTAAAGTTCCAGCCAAGCAGTTATTCAACGAGCTGCCTGGTCAATCCACCTGTAACTAAAAATGAGAGATTATCTGCTCTAAGATGGCATTTCTATAGGATCAGAAACACAATTACTCCCATTGTTGTATTTGTTCTTATGGGGTATTCTGGAAAAGCCTGCCTGATTGTGTTATTTTCTTTTTAAAAAGTTCTAAAAATAATTAGTTATTTTACATACAGACTGTAAGGCATTCAGGAGACTGGCGTGGTTGAGACATTTTGTTTGAACATGTGTTTGTTGTTTTGTGTTTCCGGTGTTATTAATCTTTCTGTAGGTAAGCAGGTGATACACCCTAACCAAATTGCAGTGGTCCAGGAGCAGTTTTCTCCTTCCCCTGAAAAACTTAAGTGGGCTGAAGAACTGATTGCTGCCTTTAAAGAACATCAACAGTTAGGAAAGGTAAATGTTTTGTTAATGCCTTGAAACATTGGTGAATCTGGCGTTTAAGATACTGTGGGGAAGAATGAAAAAATATATACTGTTTGAGTGGTTTTTAAAAACTCGTATTTTGAGGAGGAGGATATGTGTGGGCTTAGGGGGGACAACATTTATCACTGAGAAATTCACTTAAGGTAAATTTGCCCTTCCACGTTCCTAAATATTTCACTCACTGGATCTCAAGTTTCTCATTTTATTCTTTTCATAAACTATATTGGCAGCCTTAGAGAAAATAGAAGTCTGTTTAGTTTTACTCTACAGACCCGATGCAGCATTCATATGAAAATAATTTTAGATCAGAATGAGAGCAAGTTGTAATGAAATAAACACAGTTTGATCAAATGGTTCTTTTGGAGAGAAGAAATAAATTTCAAGTTATTTTAATTTGGGGAGAAAAAAGTACAAAAATCTCCGGTTTAGTCATTTAAGAGTGGGAGGTTGTATATGTGTTAGTACCAATTTCTGGACCTGAGATTTGGATAGAATAGAAAGCAAATTAACACTGGAGTATGGTTGTTCCTAATTTAGTGCATCATTGAGCCTCGCGTTTCCTGCTCTGTGGGTTTCTGCTATGTAAATATTGCAGTGGTGATGCACAATCTGTCTCCACTTTGTGCCAGTAACACTTAAATTAGGTGTCGCCTGAAGGAAGATTTTATGCTAGTTGCAGCATTGTCAGTTAATTATCTTAAAGGTTATTTGCAATAATACCGTTTGCCTCTTTTTAAGAGGATGGGGGGAAAGTTGCATTTATAAATCCATCCTAGAGGTTATATCTAAACCTGGCCTTGTTACTTACATAAGGAGTGAAGTTTTGATGCCTGTAATGCAAAAGTACTTAGGGGAGAAAGAATGTTGAAACATTATGAAGGTTCTAAATGTTAAACAGTACCTCCTACAAAAAAAAAAAAGAACAAAATTGGTTTTCAGTGGTGAACCGGTGACATCAGTGTGAGAAGTGTGGCTTACACTTTTCACTGGAAGTAAAAGCACCTAAAAATCCCAGGACTTTCGAAAGTAGGTAACAGTATTAAGTGGGTCACTCCCTCCCTCTCATTACCTGCCTTCAGCTCCAACCATGCTCGCATGCTCACCCTCACACACATTCAGGCTCATCTTTGCACAAACTTGCACTTAAATCAAAAGACGGAATATATGACACTGGAGACATCCCATTTGGACTATACCAGTTTCAGGATAAACAGCAACCTTTCGTTTCAAATCAGTAGTGACCATCAAAAAAAACATATTGCAGTGCATAAAAAGATTTTTTCAGTTGACATTATGTTTTATGTCCATTTCTATATCTTGATCCCAAAATCCAGATCCTCCATGAATAAATATAGGTATTTATTTAGAGAGAAGAGCCATATACTTTTACATTTATACATGCAAATAACTCCATCCACTCCCCTCTCCTGCATGCTTGCCTGTGCAGACACTCACTAAATGTTCTGTACCTCTGTGTGTGCCTTATGCCAGCTAAGGATATGTACCTGATAATACTTCCTACTGAAGTAAACTGAGGCAGGATGGGGACCATCAAAGCAGCAGACCAAGTAGAGTTCCAGTCTGGGCTAACACTGCCTTCTTGAACTATCTACACTGGGTTTCACATTGGATAAAATCGAAGGGCGCCACTGGCATTATAAGCAGCTAGAGGTATGGAAGAAGTTACCTAAGTTTCAGTAGCCAGCAAAGAAAATTCAAACTAGAAACACACTCTTTTACCAGCATTTAAGTTCCTGAATGAGGGAAAAACAGCACTTTTCCATTATATCTTGAAAGTGCTATTCCCAGGGAAAATTGCCCTAAAGTGTCCTTGCCTTTTGATGATGGCAACTTAGATGTTAAATTCTGAACTTTTTTTTTTTTTTTTTTAAATAAGAAATGCCCTCTTGTTGGGACATATGCTTTCACAACAGTGTGGTAGAATAGCTTTTCTTAACACAGAACCATAGAAATTAGAGCAGAAGGGAGACTAACTATTAGGTCATTTCTTCCCTGCCCCATTCGTGTAGGTTTGTTTCCTACAGCAAATTCTCCTGGTGCTTTGTCCAGCAAGGTTTAAATGATTCAAGTAATGGGGCTTCCAGTGGGGACATATGGTTATTTTATCCAGTCCGCATGTTTCTTTCACCTTGCCTATAAATTGGCTGGTCACAAAAATTGGGTCTGCAGGTAGGTGACTCTGGGTCTTGAGGGGTCTTGGGGTTTAAATAATGTAGGTTCTGTTTGTAAAGATTTAGTATAAATAGGTCGCTCAGTTGTATAAAATATTGCTTCCAACAAACATCTAATCTGTTTTATTTCAAATGTGACTCACTGATGAAAACATAAACCCTCGGATACTTTGTCCAGAGCACAGGTGACTCTCTCAACAATGGGAAACTGATGGTTTGTGTCCTAGTGAGATACTTATAAATTTCTAAAAGACCTTTTTTTGCCCTCTGATGAAAATTTCATTCAAGTAATGCTTTCAAGCAGAAATGACCCAAGAAGGCAAAATTATGTATCATTGTTTTTCTCTACTTCCTGCTCCCATCTTAAATTATATTCCGCCCTAAGATGAAAGGTATAGCTGAAGTTCACAGTTAGTGCTGGGTCATTAGTATTTTCTATAGTGATAATAATATTATTATTCAAAAATTAAAGTTCTGCCTTTTTTTTTCCTGTCTCCTCCAAATAACAAACTTCATGAGAATACTTAGATCACAAGTAGATAAATTATTGGGGTTTAGTCTTTAGTATCACGGGAATTTTTTTGTTCTGTATTAATTAAAAGTTCTAAGGAAATAAAGTTTGATGCCCTTAGTCTAATGTTGGCTAAAAAATACTTTACATTAAAAAATAATAAGAAATGACTATCTGCTCATGTAATCTGTCTCTGTTTGGCAGGTAGTGATACTTGTGACTGCTTTGTTTCAGGACACTAAAGATATTTATTTTCAGGCTAAAAAATTTTGTCTGGCATGACAGTCCCTATCATAAGAATTAGGGCTATAGATTGATATTAGGGACTCATTAAAATCTGTTGGAAAAAGTTTAAACATTCCACATGCTCTATGCTCCTATTTTAATTCCCATAAGCTAAAATATTTCTACTTTAGCTGACACCAGTTGTGAGGTATATATCCACACTGTTAATCACACTTGATTTTTTCTTTCATCCTTCCAGAAAAATATAATTTGAGATACAACCTGTATGTCATTAACTATTTTAGTCTCAAATTATTTGGTGAAATATTTTAGCCAGGATAAATCACTCCCATGTGATTTGTTTTAAATTTGTAAAGTATTTTCTTAAAAGTTAATTTCATTTTTGATGTCATTTTTTCGTAATAACAATGATTCCAATATTTGAAAATTCTCCATTCAGAACTGAATTTAGTATTGTTCATTTTAAAATATGATTTTAACACTTGTTTTGTTATTAACTAAGAACTGTATCTAGTATGAAATTGGATAATTGAAATCATCCCAAGCAAATAATTAGTTAATATTAGATGATATCAATAGAAACTGTAATTTGTATATAAGTAAATACATATACATATTTATACTATATACATATATTCATATATGTATGCTACTGAGTATTTTTTCACATCTATATTATAAACTCAGTGCTAAATTCATCACCTCTTAGGCAAAAATGACAGGTAAAGGAAATAGTCAGTTGCTTTTTTAAAATGATTGATAATCCCAGGAAATCCTACATTAAGAATTTACCATTTCTTTTCAAATGGTGGCTCAAACAGAAAAATATGAAAAAATAGCAAAAGGTATTAAGAATAGCAACATGTATTACATGAGATCGATCTTTAAAGGTACTTTGCTAGAATATTCATATTTCTGCAGTGTCTGGCTACCAATATAGCTTCATTTTCAGTATTCTAAGCGCTCTATTCATAGTAAATCTGTAAATGCTTAATTTGGTTTTGGAAGGATTTTGTTTAAATTTTTCAATATTTTTTGTTCATTATAGATTCACAAGCTGGGTAAAAACCGAGGAAGGGAAAGTGTCCACCTTTAAAATCTAGGTTCCACTAGTAATTATAAGGTCAAAAATAAGGTCACTAGCTGACATAACAACTATAAACAACACACATAACTGATACATCCTAACTTCACTCAAGAGAGAGCAATAATGCAGATTAACATGTTTACATTAATAAGCAAATCCTCTATAGGAATATAAATTGGGAACTTATATCTTAATAAAGAAAGAAAAAAGAAAGAGGTTTTTTCCCTCATGTAAGTCTTTTCGTCTAGAAAATTACAAAGAATAATTCCCCCTCCCCAATATTGAAAGCAAATTATTTTCATAGGTATCTGATTACGGCTCAGACACCTTTCGTTTGTGTTTCCAAATGCAGGACTTTACAAAAGAAATACTGTTTGGTCCAGATGGCCTTCTAGAAGGCTCCCTGAGAGAACTCAGAAGTCTCTCTAGCCAAAAATATTGTTTCCGCTTATTCAAGTGCCAGAAATCCCACTGCCACTCTTTCACGCAGATCAAATAAACCATCCAAAGATTTGGTTGTTGTCTTTGTCAAAGGAAGGGGTTGATTCCACTAATAGACAACAGTGTGCCCTCCCACACTCATGCATCCCACTGCCCACAGTCTTGCCCCCTTTATTTGTAAGCAGAAATGCTAAAATCAGAACTGAGTGATTGCCAGTGAAAATGAAAGAGGAAGGGACATCACTCTACTTTTAAGATGCTTAGTTATTGCATTTCTCCATTTATTTCCTTGTTCATTGGAAATCTTTAGAACTATATCGCATAATTTTGACTTTAAAAAGTCAAGTTCTTAGAAAATTTGAGAGTCTGCCAATGGTGACTTTAAGGTTGATTTGATTAACAACAAATTGCAGATTTCTAAACGTTTAAAGCAAGGCAGTACAGTTTTACTGCTGATCATATCCTATTTCACATAGGCTTAGTGGCAAGTGGC